AAATATTTTGAGGCTGTACTCACATCCTTATTGTGATAGGTTTAGTGAACATCCACAGGGGAGACATAATGTAACTGGACAGATATATATGTCCTCCAACATGTGCGATGGTCGAGAATTAATTAAGGTAACAATAAACTGTACAGGTAGAGGGGAGATATACAGTATCGCAGGTGATGTGACACTGGTCATAGGAAACATTATATATACAAAATTTGCCACAGATATTTTGTTGACCACATTTGGTAGAGGGATTACAATCTCATATGCTAATTTTATACCATTGATTGTTTAGTGACTGCTGTCACAAATACATATAAACATTATAAAATGGAAAGAAAACAACTTTTTACTTTACGGCATTGTTGTTCTCATAATGTTACATATACTATGTTTATAGTTGTGACAGAAAAATGGTATTACATCAACAAACAAAAAAATAATTGAATTGACCACTACTAAAGGAAGAGTAATGGTGAACTATAAAGATACATGTTGTATATAATAATTGCGACAGTTATTGGCATGTCATTGTTACCTAGTCATCAGATATAAGTGTCCTGCACTGTAATATAATGTCTAATTGACAAGGAATAGCTTTGTTTTAATTTATGTGAGGGCCAAATTGTAGGAGTGTCTAGAGGCATTTCCCAAAAATTTTTTGCCGGTCTGCCCTTGTTTAATGATGGCACACAGGTTTTTGTAATTTGCTGCTTATTATCTACATTCTCTAATAGGAAATGTATATAATGTTGATCACATTAAATTATAATATCACAAAAAGTTGAATATTTTATGAATGCCCAAATACTGCATATAATGAATACCTTTTTTTCCTCAAAAGACAAAAGAGCAGCATGAAGTATGAATTTACTGAATAATATACACTTTTTTCAATATAAAGCATGCCCATAACCTTGCAACATCTGTACATCTGTTTCAAAAAATATATTTCTGGCAATAAACATTTTAAACATATATCAGGACCATCATGGAAAAAGAATCTGCACACAAACAACATAAAGGGTCATACAAAAAGGTAAGTTACAGGAAACTTAACTGAGCATTAGTTTATAATCAGATTTCGGACATATCTTTTAGCCATTAAAAAATGCCTTTTGCGGTGTTATCTTAATTTTTAAATTTGAGGTTTAAGCATTTGGTTATTGGTAAATAATTTTTTTTTTTGAAAACCATTTGAAGTCATTTATTTACCATTTTATTTTCTCTTTGGAATTAGCAATAAAATGCTGTTTAAAATCTATTAAATTTCCATTGTTATTTGCACAATCTGTCTAAAATAGATAAATGTCCAACATTGTCACAGATAAATTTAGCCTCACCAGAGAATCAAACCAGCCATGCTCTTTCTATTGAGCTAAGCATGCAGTATTTAATGCCATTTCAGTTCTCTTTGTTTTTGAATTAACATGGATAGTTATATTGCAGGAGGTTATTAAAACCTTTTTAGTTACTGAGTCAGAGCTGTGATTTTTCATTTCCTGAAGCTTACTTCAACAATATATTGAAATTCTGTTTTATAATTTTGCTGCCAAACATAAAGCTTTATTCCTATGCTTTTATTTTTGTGTTTGTAGTTCAGATTCTTTGATTAATAGAAATGAGAGCATAATATTCAATTTACTCATGATTTGATCTGATAGAACTATCTTGATTTGATCAAAAGAACTATCTTTTCTGAGGTAGACTTATTGGAGAGGCTGTAGAGAGGTGTTTTGCTGCAAGGAAACTTGACATATTGTTCACTATATGGTTCACTTTAAAGGAAGAGTTTAAATCCCTAATACCCTTGGTTTTTGACACTTATTGTTTCTTTGTATTAACCTTTTCCCTTATATAAACGTGTTTCGACGGCTTTTTGACCCCCCCCCCCTTTTTGAGGCCTCAAACAGTGAAAAAATGCCCTATTTAGGCCCCAAACACTGTTTTTCGTTTGAGAAATGTTGTTAAAAAAATTGACCATTTTTTCGGCGCCGTCCCCCATCCAATATATTACATCAGGGGTTGCCAAGAGGGGGATGTGCCCCCTTCTGTTTGGGGGGTTTGAAGGGGGCGGAGTCCCCCTCATCGCCAAGAAAAATTTTGGACTTGTGAGAGGCTTTAAATGAGCCCAGGTCGATCATAAGATAACTTGTAACCAACGCTGAAAAGCCTTTTTGACTCTATCTCTATCCCTTGAGAAGTTGCAGCACTTTGAAATAAATTTTGATGGAAAAAATCGGAGGCAAAAAAGTGATTTTTGGCAATTTTGAGATGTCCCCTCGTTGCCATTGGTAACAGGAAATTTAAGACTGAGCATATCGTTACAAAGGCAATGGTCCAGTCAACATTTGTGCCAAGTTTGATTAGTATTGAAGCATTTTTTCATAGTTTCATAGCAGTTTGAACTTGTTGAGAGGAGGCTTTTCAGTGAAAATGGCCATTTTTTCACAATATGCTCATGGGGGAAAGGGTTAACTAAAAAAATTATAAATGTTACAAAACAATGATTTTTCACCAAAATTAGGTAAAAAGACCAAATGTTAACATGGAAGAAAAAAACTAGATTTTGGGTGTGTTCCAAGGTTTTTTTCATCATTTTTTGTTAACCTTTTCCCTTATATAAGCGTGTTTCGACGGCTTTTTGACCCCCCCCCCTTTTTGAGGCCTCAAACAGTGAAAAAATGCCCTATTTAGGCCCAAACACTGTTTTTCGTTTGAGAAATGTTGTTTAAAAAAATTGACCATTTTTTCGGCGCCGTCCCCCATCCAAATATTACATCAGGGGGTTGCCAGAAGGGGGATGTGCCCCCTTCTGTTTGGGGGGTTTGAAGGGGGGCGGAGTCCCCCTCATCGCCAAGAAAATTTTGGACTTGTGAGAGGCTTTAAATGAGCCCAGGTCGATCATAAGATAACGTGTAACCAACGCTGAAAAGCCTTTGACTCTATCTCTATCCCTTGAGAAGTTGCAGCACTTTGAAATAAATTTTGATGGAAAAAATCGAGGCAAAAAAGTGATTTTTGGCAATTTTGAGATGTCCCCTCGTTGCCATGGTAACAGGAAATTTAAGACTGAGCATATCGTTACAAAGGCAATGGTCCAGTCAACATTTGTGCCAAGTTTGATTAGTATTGAAGCATTTTTCATAGTTTCATAGCAGTTTGAACTTGTGAGAGGAGGCTTTTCAGTGAAAATGGCCATTTTTCACAATATGCTCATGGGGGAAAGGGTTAAATGACATCTTGTCAAAAAAAGCCTCTTTTTCACTTAATAAGAACATTGTTTTATACATACATACATACATGTTTGTCATAACATGGGAATAAATGAAGAGATAACATTTTTTATTGTTTAACTTGAATGTTAATTAGATAAAAGGTGGACTTCTTACTTTACTCATTTCAACAATTGATGCAAATAAATTCCAACTGTTTCGCTAATTGAAATCTTGACTAAATACATCCCTCATGCCAGTTCATGTCTTTTTCAACTCTTGTATCTTCTTGCAACTTGTTAAATAATAAAAGGTAACCATTAAACCAGTAAATTTGTAAAAGAACCTGCCCTGTTTAGATGGGGATTTATATATCAAATGGTTAAATATGAGCATGCACACAAAAAACCCTACAACTAAGCAGACTGTCCTGGTTATCCTGGTGCCATATTACAAGACATTACAGCAAGGAGCATTCTATAAACAGTTTATCATTTTCAGTCTCTTTCCTAAACAAACCAGTACTGGTCAGAAAGCATGGTTGTGACTTAGTTGCAGACACTTGTCCACAAAAACACAATAAATATTTTGCCCACATTACAGCAACTGTCCTTAGCTTTAAGTTAATGATTTGCTTTGCTTTGAAATTGGAACAGTTATTCAAATTTTAAGGGATTTCAATTACAAACTACAAAACTGTTGTACTAACAACATCTGCAAGCCCGGGGCATAAGACTGGCCTGACCAGGGCAAAAAACTTTTGGTTGAGATTAGGCAGTTATAATTTTTCTCCATCTTTAAGGATAACTAGCTGTAGCAAAAAATTCATAACATTCTTAAACAGCTCCATTATTCAGTTCCTTAAATTAGTAGCATTTTTTTCCCACCAGTGCATAATGCAATAAAAATGTAATCATAATTAAGTAATTAATGAACTTCAAATTAAGTGTGCAAAAAAAATACCTGTTTTTCCAAAATTCTTGTTGCATGATGTAATACTTGTACACAAAAATCTCATAGCAACGACAAGAAATAAGTATGTCAAAATATTTGTGTAGAACGTATAATAGCCTTCCATTTTGATCAGTATTAACTTCAAGTATAAAAAGGTGGCAATTGGGATTTAAGAATAATTAATTATTTTACTCTTTTTAGATAAATTATATACATAGATTGTTACAAAAATTTGCAGTAATTAATATAAAAATTTACACAAAATATGGCAAAAGCAATATGAAGGATACTGAAATCTAGCTCGATCTGCACTAATGGCTTGTTGTATTTCTATACCAGTACCAAAGTATCTTAACAGTTGTACTGATTTATTTTAGTTCCAATTGTGAAACAACTTACATTAATCAAATGTGAGATGACTTCATGGTGTCATCAAAAAGAAACATGGTCATGACCTGAGTAGGACGCGACCCAAGTAGGACATTTATTGAACATAACTACTAATAGGAAAATGGTGTTGTGTTTTCCTGCAATTTTTAAATAATTGATAAAGATGCCCAATAGTCAGGATCACTTTTAACTCTTATTGATACAAGATAAGAATCAAATCCAAAATACCAACAACATACATCGTTGCCAACTGTCAGATCGTCAGTACATAATAATCAGCGAAGAAATAACTTAAATTTCATTCTATCATTCTATATTTTTGAAATATCATCTTAAATATTGACTTTTTCACATTAGTGAATAAAATGTTTCATCATTTTCTTTGTGTGTGTTTGTATCTCAGGCTTGCATGTTTATATTTTGTAGCATAATTATACTTACAGTGAAGAACAGGGGCAAGGCGCTTTAGCGGACTGTACTAATGCCACGTCACAACAATAGTCTATACTTGTCTCTCTACAATTCTGAAATTATAACAAAAATATCATTTTACATTGTTGCCAATTGTTTAACTATGCATGTGTTTAAAGTGATATCCTCTATATTAATTACAACCAAATACTGCTATTTGTGTCATATTGTTTAAGTGTATTTTGCTCATAATTTGGAGCACTTTTTAGATGAGTTTGGCCAAAATGCTTACAGGAAAGGATTATAGGCCAAGTTCAATACTGGTGCTACAGGGCCTATAATTATCACTGTTTTAATTATCACTGTTTTAACAGTTGAACAAAAATGCAGAGTTACCGAGTTCTGCATTTACCTTACAGATTGTGATAAAGCAATAAATCATTGCAAATGTTATAATAAACAACTATAAAATCATATAATAAACAATTGTTAATCAGCTACTGAAACATTGGTTATCAGATGATAAAATTTTGTTCACCATAGGATGTCCTATCAGGATATTTATCAACCTGTTTATTGTGATGTAAATAGTCTATAAATCATTTCATTCATTTATTATAAGATAATAGAACACAAAAAATAGTTACAAAATGATTTGGTAACTATCTCAGAGTAACAGAAAGATGAGAAATACTCTAAAACTTTCAAACTGAGCACATCCTTACAATAGATTTAGTATGTCACTTTAGACAATGTGCGTAACAGCCCTGCCAAATTAATGTGCCCTACATTTCATTTTGCATATTTAAGATCATTAATACTTCTTTGGATAATTATCATTCTGATTACCTTCAACCATTATTCTCTTGGCAATGATTATATTTGTGTCCTCAGTGAAGGTAATAACTCATCCTGTACTTTAAAAATTTTAATTTATAGCGAGGCCAAAAATATATGTTAGTAGTACTTTCTTGTTAGTATAACTGATCAGGTTGTGGTGATTTAACTTTTCCTGGCAACCTGAAAAATCCAACATGTTACCTGGATAATCAGTAACAGCAGAGTATTCCTTCATTGGTCTATGGACACATTTAAACCATGTTATCTATGTCTCTGTTTAAACTAACCATTGGTCAGTCAAAAAAAAAATTTCTTCTTTCATCACAGGGATATAATTCTATAAGCCATGACCTCTATCTTTAGTTCATAACATTAAAATGACTAGTGACTCCCATTACATAGACACAACTCTATTAGAAAGAAAAGTTGAACTTTTGAATATCATCTGTATGCCTTCAAGTTTTAAATGATTTGTCATCACAAAGTAAATAAATTACAACATCAAAGTGAAGATGTTAGACAAGTTGTATGTTAAGATGTTAACACCTTAACAACATACCATTTCCTCTTCATATAAGACATGATCTCATAATAAAATGCATCTTCCTTTACCAAGAAAAGCCAACAGATATAATGTTTTCAGTAAAACACTTTTATGTATACATAGAAACAAGATGTCTTGATCCCTGTATGTAACAATATAAAACAGCAATACAGTTGTGCAGATACACCTGTAACCACTGATGACACAAGTTACTTCATCCATTTAAAACAAAATTCACTTATCTACCTTTTACTTGTAGGCAGTACAATTTAAGCAAAATAAACATCTATCCTGCAGCTTGACTAGCCCAAGGTCTTCAGCGTACCCATTTTTTTTAATAAGCAGCTTATAAAGTTATGTAAGCCAGAACCACTGCTTCACCTGGTTTAAATTTGGAACTGTTGGGTTCTAAATGTGAAAGTACTAGAAGTAGGCAGTCAGCATTTTATGGTCTGGTCAGACAGTAGAGCTGTGCAGGAAGGTCTGGCTCCATATTAGTGGCCACATTGATAAGCCAATATAACAGAGAACTCCTTGATGATCTACAACTGTCTACACTTCACCAATTCATTAGATTAAGCTCAACAATATAACAAATTGACATTTTGACCAACTTCTGTAATCATTAATGGCTACTCAACTTAAGAGTTTCCATTTTTGAAGTAGGAAATTAAGTCCAGCACACATGTTCACATGTTTGATAGGGTAAACAAGGAACTTTTACCTTTTATTTTATCGTAAAGCATGTGTTACATTGTTGTGAACAAGGGAGAGCCATTGTGTAAAAGACTGCCCAGCTTCTAAATCTAAGCCATCCACAATAAAATATCTTTCTGATCAATTAAATGTTACTAAACCATACTGAAAATTTACATGTGCAGATATGTGTACAATGTGTTAAATGCAAAAATCAAATACATTTTAAGACAGCCACTATAGTTGCTTATAGCCATGCTAGTTCTTAACTATTAGCTGAATGAAACTATCCACTCATGCACTGTTATTTTACATAATTTCACTACAAAAAGCCGCATCTGAACAACAAACAGTATCTTATAAGACCAGTCTGCACATCCATATATTACATGTATCATGGAAACACTGCTATACATACTGGTGCTACATCTAAATCTATATTGCTTCATCACTATACCATTACTGGTGCTATACTGCTACATTATTGGTGTTATACTGCAACATTACTGGTGCTATAAATGCTACAATACTGGTGCTATACTGCTTCATTACTGGTGCTATACTGCTACATTACTGGTGCTAAACTGTAAAATTACAAGTGTTATCCTTCAACATAACTGGTGCTATACTGCTACATGACTTGTGCTATACTGCTACATGACTTGTGCTATACTGTTACATTACGGGTGCTATACTGCTACATAACTGGTGCTACACTGCTACATTACTGGTGCTATACTGCTACATTACTAGTGCTATACTGCTACATTACTGGTGCTATCCTGCTACATTACTGGTTCTATACTGTTACATTACTGTTGCTTTACTGTTACATTACTGGTGCTATACTGCTACATTACTGGTGCTATACTGCAACATTACTGTTGCTTTACTGCTACATTACTGGTGCTATACTGCTACATTACTGGTGCTATACTGCTACATTATTGGTCCTATACTGTTACATTACTGGTGCTATACTGTTACATTATTGGTGCTATACTTCTACATTACTGGTGGTATACTGCTACTTTACTAGCGCTATATGGCTACATTACTGGTGCTATACTGCTACATTACTGGTTCTATACTGTTACATTACTGTTGCTTTACTGTTACATTACTGGTGCTATACTGCAACATTACTGGTGCTATACTGCTTCATTACTGGTGCTATACTGCTACATTACTGGTGCTAAACTGTAAAATTACAAGTGTTATCCTTTAACATAACTGGTGCTATACTGCTACATTACTGGTGCTATACTGCTACATTACTGGTCCTATACTGTTACATTACTGGTGCTATACTGTTACATAATTGGTGCTATACTTCTACATTACTGGTGGTATACTGCTACTTTACTAGTGCTATAAGGCTACATTACTGGTGGTATACTGCTACATTACTAGTGCTATACTGCTACATTACTGGTGCTATATGGCTACATTACTGGTGCTATACTGCTACATTACTGGTTCTATACTGTTACATTACTGTTGCTTTACTGTTACATTACTGGTGCTATACTGCAACATTACTGGTGCTATAATTCTACATTACTAGTGCTATACTGTTACATTACTGGTTTTATACTGCTGCATTACTGGTGCTATACTGCTACATTACTGGTGCTATACTTCTATATTACTGGTGCTATACTGCTACTTTACTGGTGCTATACTGTTACATTATTGGTGCTATACTTCTACATTACTGGTGCTATACTGCTACTTTACTTGTGCTATATGGCTACATTACTGTAGTTATACTGCTACATTACTGGTGCTATACTTCTACATTACTGGTGCTATACTGCCACATATTGGTGCTATACTGCTACCTTATTGGTGCTATACTGCCACATTACTGGTGCTATACTGCTACATTACTAGTGCTATACTGCTACATTACTGGTGTTATACTGCTGTATTACCGGTGCTATACTGCTATATTACTTGTGCTATACTGCTACATGACTTGTGCTATACTGCTACATTACTGGTGTTATACTGCTACATTACTGGTGTTATACTGCTACATTACTGGTGTTATACTGCTACATGACTTGTGCTATACTGCTACATGACTTGTGCTATACTGCTACATTACTGGTGTTATACTGCTACATTACTGGTGTTATACTGCTATATTACTGGTGTTATACTGCTACATTACTGGTGTTATACTGCTGTATTACCGGTGCTATACTGCTACATGACTTGTGCTATACTGCTACATGACTTGTGCTATACTGTTACATTACTGGTTTTATACTGCTACATTACTGGTGTTATACTGCTACATTACTGGTGCTATACTGCTACATTACTGGTGCTATACTGCTACATTACTGGTGCTATACTGCTACATTACTGGTGTTATACTGCTACATTACTGGTGTTATACTGCTACATTACTGGTGTTATACTGCTGTATTACCGGTGCTATACTGCTATATCACTTGTGCTATACTGCTACATTACTGGTGCTTTACTGTTAAATTACTGGTGCTATACTGTTACATTACTGGTGCTATACTGCTACATTACTGGTGCTATACTGCTACATTACTGGTGTTATACTGCTGTATTACCGGTGCTATACTGCTATATTACTTGTGCTATACTGCTACATTACTGGTGCTATACTGTTACATTACTGGTGCTATACTGTTACATTACTGGTGCTATACATTACTGGTGCTCATAATACTGCTACATTACTGGAGCTATACTGTTACATTACTGTTGCTTACTGCTACATTACTGGTGCTTTTCCTAAATTTACTCTGCTCATACTTGTGTTATACAGCTACACACTGATGTTTTAACTTGATCTATACTGCTACACTACATATACATATACCATAAACTTACATATATGAAAAAGCAACTTGTTTCAAAACATTTTTTATGTTTATATCAGCAAATCTACAAGTATGTTTTATTTTATCTATGTCCAAACCATGGTGAGAAAGATGTTAGATTTAGGCTGGTATAATGTTATGATCATAACAGTAAAAATGATAA